TCTCAAATGCTTCTGGTCAGAAGTTCTAAGACAGCTCTAATTCTGAAAGGTGAGTGTTTTTGGTGATAGGTTTTGGGGGTGTTAACAGCATTTTAAATGAACTGTGTAGGACACACTGAATCAGGATACTTTCCAGCAGAGTTGTTCAGCCTTAGCTCTGTGTGGCTAGTCATTGGTGCTGTCTGTGGTGGAGAAGATTGAGTGGGAACCCTATTCATCTTTGAAGACTGGACACTTTCTTAGGAGCAATATAAAACACACCCATGCTCATGAATACAGAAACAGTCTTCACTTTAAAAAAACAAATAATTGGTTGGCTCTGCAAATCCCACGGTTCAGGTTCACTGTAAGCAGATATAATTAACACTGTAATTAATAAAGTGAATAAGAACTTCTAATTAAATCATAATAACTGCCTTGGTGAGAGCCAGGAAGATGCACGAATTTCTCAAGGAGGTATGAACTATACACTCTTGTTGCTGTGCTCTGTGAAATTCACAGGTGAGGGGTACATGTGACTTTTTCTGTTTTTGATCCTAGCATATCAGAGTGCAGGATTGTCTCTTAATGGTGGGTTCTTTTATAAGTGTCTCAATTAATGTCTTTACCTCCCACTCCTATAATTTGATGAAGGCAGTCAAGATATAATTGTAGCTTTCCTAACCTACCCTCTGTGGAGTTTTCCCAAGCTTTAGATGTGGCTTCAGTGCTAAAATAAAGTCCTTTGGAATTTGAAATCTTTCGGTTGACAAATGCAAGAATGTTAATGTTCAAAATGGTGATCATGAGGGATTTTACTTTCAAATGTGATGATGGACACTTTTCAGAATGGGTAGGGAAACCTTTAGCAAATAGAAAAGGATGCATGATAGAAAAGGATGTGTTTGGAGTGAGTGTCCTCCAAGCAGTGTCTAATTACGGAAATTATTTAATCAGTACTAGCAGATAATGCACCCTTCCTCCTTGAATCTAGGGTCTTTGCATTGAGCTACATCTCCAGCCCTTTTTGTTTTTCAATTTGAGACAGAATTTCACTGAATTGCCTAGACCAAACTTTAACTTGCAATTCTGCCACTTTAGCCTCCCAGAGTGTTGGGATTTAAAGCACATAGTAGCATAGATTGGGTGTCCTTGGGGACTGAGTGTCTAGACCTCATGTGCAAATATGGCGAGCTGTTTATGATCCACATCAGACAGTCATTAACATGTTTATGAAAATGATGAACTTAATGCAGTTTCTGGAGCCAGGGAGAGGGATCATTTTTGGCATATGGCTACCTAGGGCATCAACTCTAACCTTCTCTATGGTTATGTTTCACAGGCTTTGCATTGCCTGTTGTCTTGTGATTCGTGAAAGTACTATAAAAAGGAAAAAAAGAGGAAAGAAAAAGATAAGAGACAAAGTTATAATATAAATATTAGTGGATGGCAGGCATTCAGTATCTGCATTGTACTCTAACAAGGAAAGCCCAGCAAAGGAAGCTTGTCATTTATACCAGTGAGCTTAGTTTATGCCTCTATACCTGTGTAAGTTACATAACAATGTTTACATTTGAGATTTTCAAAGACAATCTTGCCTATAAGATTAAATACAGTGTATCGTATTAAAGTCACTGAACTTTGTTATTTACTGGCTAAACATTGTTTCAATGGTCACAAAATTTTATTAAAGATAGGAAAAGAAACAGGCTCTGCAGAGTAAGTTTAGGCCATGTAAAAGAAGTATACCCTAAGTTCCCTGAGAAAGAAAAGTCATTGCAGTGGTAGTGAATCTATGACACACATGATATTTATTTATTCATTTATTTAAAGACAAAATATGTTAATGTATAAGTTGTTTTTTTCTGAGCTAAAATCTCAGTATTGAGGTTTAATTGCAGTGTTGGCATTTTGCAATAAATAAATAAATTTTGGGATGCAGTTTGGACACTTTTCCCTCAAAGGTTCACCATCACTGATCTAGGGGAAAAGTACAGACAAGACAGAGTGCAAAATAAAAGAGTAAATAGATGGCTACTCAGGCAGGAGACCGGATTACCAACAGCTGTTTTTCCTCAAAAGATTGAGAAAGCTGAATGAAGTACTGCAGCATGGAGAACAGAAACTTGAGCTCAGAAAGGCATACTACACTGTAGGTTGCACACGTGGTACCTGAACGATCTGCTCTGCAGCTGGGTTAGTAACAGGCCCTCTGCAAGTTCTTCATTGACTTCTGTCTGCAGTGACCAAAGACAGGCAAAGGAAGGAAAAGGGATAAACTTGAAGCAGGCATGTAGGCCACTTACTAGCTGAGAGAAAACAGGGACTGTGGGCTTCCTCTCCCCCATTCCACATCCTACCTGATGGGTCACACCAGAAAGCTGTTTCTGGCGCTGTGAAAAAATTTCTGGAGTTGCTCAGCCTCGGGGAGAGAGACAAGGAAAAGAAGAAAAAAACATCATGGCGTTTTAGAAAGAAAGAAACAAAAAAATGCTCAAAGGGCCTCACCTGCTCTTCAGGCTTGCTAAGCTACTGGATTTTGGGGGTGTTAGAGGTGGTTTCTAGGTTCTTTCTGTGCTGAGCAAAGATTTTGCCAAGGTAACCAAACAAGGTAGCAAAGTTTTATTGAAGGTAGGAAAACAGGTTCTGCAGAGAGTTTGGGTCAAGTAAAAGTAGGAAAAGAAGTACACTCTACAGTATGAGGGTGGTCCACCATGCAGGAGAGGACAATGGTGTGACCATTTGTTTTTTATAGTGTATATGGCTGTGTAACTTTTGTTTTGACATTGCAGTAAGTTTTATGATAGATTTTACAGTAATGTGATCCTGGATTTTCATTCTGTACTAATATAATTAAAGAATCTTGAGAATTTCTTAGTGATTTGAATTTACATAGGCACTTCCTGGGGTGGGCAAAGTGTGTGAGGACCCAGAGATGTCCTTGTTAGGCGATTTGGAAACCCAGGCCTCTAAATAAGAGAGCAGCTGTCTGCTTTTGTATTAATCATCAGGGCCAACTGGTGATTTTATAAGCTCGCGTGAGCCCAGATGCCCATTGCTGTGCGTGCTCTGAGTTGCATTTTTGTTTCACAGCCCCTGTCTAGGGCAGTGAGTTTGTGTAGTAATGTTTACAGATGATTAATATTGAAATAGAAATGTGCCTCTTGAAGGCCCTTCTAAGGAAAGGAAGCTGGAGTGAGTAGTGGATGTGTAGGCAGCAGCTAACATTTTTTGTGCAAGTTCAGAATTTTCAGAAAAGCCCTTGTGGCTTTACTGCTCATTGTGATGAGAAGAAGCTAGCCCTTGTTTATGTTTGGAAAATATGAAAAAAAAATTTCAATCAGATTTTATTTTCTTTAAGTTTTGTATTTTAGGGAAGGGTCTATAGGGTGTTCAGGGTCTCACTACTAGATCGGACTCATAGTGAACCGCCTGTTTACAGCTGGGATTACAAGTGTGCACCACCATGCACAGTCTCAGTTGCCCTCTCAGTGTGCCCCAGGGGCGGGGCCAGCATAGGCCTGGGGATTGAGCCTCTGGCCCCTGCGCCTGCTTGCAGGTGCTTTATTCCGCTGAGCTGTTTGGCTGGCCCTTAATCAGATTTTATTGATACATTTTAGATATACATAGTGATCACATTCATCATTGACAATTCGCACCTGTACATGATATAACTTGTTTCTTCTTTTTTCCCATTTCCTTACCCTACCTTCAAGCCTTCCTCCCCTCCAAATGTACAAAAGCATTGTTTCCATGTAGAAAATGTGAACTTTTAATTTCTGTAGAATATAGTCATGCTTCATGAAAAACATGAGTATTTTATATGTACAGAATTTAGGCAACAGCATAACAGATACCCACATACCTATGGTGCACTTCTATTGAATCTTGGTATGTGTCCATATTTTCCAGTCTCTTTGTTTTCTCTTTAAAATTAAGGCAAAGCCGATATAATGGAAGTACTCTTTGTAATCCTAATTCTTTTACTCCCTGCCTAACTGCTCTGATGGACCTGCTGTCCGGATACATACTCATTATGTTTAGATGTGGCTGTACAAAAGGTAGCTTTTTTTCCCATTGCATATTCTAATGATATACGTAATGTGTAACATTATTCTGTGTTAACAGCTTGCTTTTCATTAGTTGTTTATTAGTCAACTTTCTATCTGTGACAAAATACCTGAGATAAATCAGTTAAATTAAGGAGGAAATTTTGTTTTGGCTCTTAGTTTCAAAAATTTCTGTCTGTGGCCTCTTGGCCTAGTTGCGTTTAGGCCTGTGGTGAGACAGAGCATCATGGAGGAAGTGCAAGGGGTGGGTCCTCACTTCATGAGCAGGCAGCAAAGTGCAAGAGTAAGGGCCAGGGCTCCAGCGTAGCCTGCAGTGCAGTGCCCCCAGTGATTCCCTTTTTCCCACCTCTTGGCGTTTCCACCAACCTCCCATTAGAGCAGAGCACTGGTGACAGAGCCTTCATGCATGAACCTTGAGGCAGTATTTAAGATCAAAACCGTAACACTTAGCATTATAGTTTTGAACTATTGTCATTTAACTATATTGTAGATTATTCATTTTAATTTTTAAAATATTATTCCCATATATGTTCCTATCACATTTTTTAATATTTCCTGATGACAGAAACTTAGGTTTCTAGCTCATTGGCTTTTATGAGCAATATGGTAGTAAATATGCTTGCAGGGTTCCTTTTATACTCAGGAGAGGATTGCTGTAAACTCTAGAATCTAGGATATACATTCAGGGGTATATTTGCTATGACAGAAGGTATGTGTATCTTGAACTTTACTAGCCAAGACCAAATTATGTTCTCTAAAGTATTGTAAATAAATAAATTGTGGCAATTTACACTCCCAGAAGTAGCATATAAAAACTCTGTTGGATATTCTAGTCACTGTTTTATCAAACTTAAGTTTTGTTTGCTGTACTGAGGATTGAACCCAGGACATTTACACTGAGTTATATGCCCAGTTCCTTGCTGCCTCAACCTTTTTAATTTTTATTTTGAGACAAGAACTTCATAAGTGGACAAGGTGGGCTTGAACTTGCAACACTACTGACTGAGCCTCCCAGAATTACAAGTAGGTGCTACTATGCTTGGGGCTTAGTCTTAAATTGTTGGCACATGATTAGTGTGCACCATGGTTCCCTTTATTTGTGGTTTTGTATAGTGCAGTTTTACTTGTCTGTGATCTGAAAGTATTAAATGGAAAATTCTAGAAATTATCATAGGTCTTAAATAGCTTCTGTTACAATATTTTGTGACAATTGTATTATTTTTAGTTTTTGTTCACCTGTTATTGTGCCTAGTGTGTAGCTTAAACTTTATCATAGGTTTGTACTCGTGTGTAGTGAAAGACAAGATATAAAGGGCACAGCACTGTCTGTGCTTCCCCATGCCCACTATGAACTTTGAAGTGTGTCCTCCTACAGATAAGGGGTGGGGAGATGGTGTCATGTGTATTCCTATTGTTGTCACTCACATTTGCTTAATTATTTGTGAGAGTATCATTCATTCAGCAGGTGAATTAAGGACTGCTGAGAGGCAAGGAGCTGTGCCATTTGCTTATATTCTAGTGAAACAAACTGAAAACAAACAGGCAAGAGAATGTACTATATTTTATAGACATTAAGCTCTGTGGACAGACAGATAAGAGCAAGTACCATGTTGGTAATGTGGAGGGAACAGTTGAAAGCAGCAGGAAAAGCAAATGACAAGACCTTCATGCATGGCCTGTTGGGCCTGCAGGAGTCCAGTGTGACTGGAGTAGAGTGCATAGTTCAGTGAAAGGGAGGGGAGATGAGGTAATTACTAGGGAGCTTTGAGCTGTTGTAGAGTGTCACAGTCATCTGGAATTTGACTGTTTTCAACAGAAGTGTGACATAATCTTACATAGGCTTCAACAGAATCACACTAGTTTCTTCATATAAGAGATTGTAAAGGGCTAAAGAAGGAGGCAGGGAGACGAGTTAGGAACTATTATAATCCAGGCAAAGGATGATGAGAACTTAGGCTAAGGTTGTACAAAATGAAGGCAGCAAGCAGCAGTCAGAAGGCAACATACACCCATGAATATAGGTGTACACTCCTTGCTTAACCACGGAACTCCCTCCCTTTGACTTTCCTTCTTAAATGAATTGGTTGCTAAATGAGGAAAATATTCAGAATAGTCAAAAATTCCTCCGATTTAGTGACTTTATTTGCATAACTCTTACTTACCATACTCCTACATGTAATAGAACATAAAACTATAACTATTGTGCAGTGCAATCAGCAAAAGTTACAGTACTGTATAAACAGGTATACTGCACAAAAAAGACATTGAGGCTCTAAAATCAAGAGGTATAGAACTATAAAAATATATAGGTTGTAAGTCTGAACAATTGTTAAAAATTTAAGTCATTAAATTTTTAGTGATTGGATTTGATTTGTATTACGTGAGAGTAAACTCAGGAGTTTTATACTGAGCTAGATCTCCAGCTCATTGTTATATTATTATTTTGAGACAGGGTCTTGCTAGTTACTCAGGTTGAGCTTAAGCATGGAATCCTCCTGCCTTGGCCTCCCAGAGTACTAGGATTCCTGGCATGTGGCACCATGCCCAGCTCTTTCTGGATATATTTTAAAAGTAGAGTGAACAAAATATGCTGATGTGTTAGTTGGGGAATGTGAATAAAAAAGTACAAGATTTTGGCCTAGCTTCTGAATGGGTGGAGTTGCCATTCACTGAAATATCTGGGGCAGAGGCAGGTTTACAAATTCCAAGCATCTGCTCATCGTATATGTTGAGATGTTAACTAGGAGGTGCTAACACCAGCCAGCAGTACAACAAGGTCTGATGTACTCATGTGTCACCACAGTACGATGGTTCAAAGCCTTGAGATTGGATGGAATGGGCCTAGATGAACCCTAGGCCACTGAAGGGGGATGAAGCTCCCCAATACCAGACCAGAAAAGATTACTCAGTAAGCAGGAGAAAATGCGGTGTCTGGAAGACTAGTGTAGAAACAGCAAGCAGGGGCCGGGGAGATGGCTCAGTAGAATAAGTGCTTGCCTGGCAAGTGCAAGGTCCTGAGTTCAATCCCCGGTTCCGCAAAAAAAAAAAAAAAAAAAGAAAAAAGAAACAACAACCAGTTGGTTATGTTTAATGTTCCGATAGGTGCACTAGGGTGAGTACTGAGACCTAGGTGACAAAGGTCACCTAGTGCCCTTTGGCTTTAATGATACGAAAGTCATTAAGGCCTTGCATAGGAAATGTTTTGGTGGAGAAGAGAGACACTAAGGCTAGATAGGTTATACTGTAGAGGGGGTGGGAGAACAGGAATTGGAGGGGACAAAAGTTAATACCACTTTTGAGGAGTTTCTTTCCAAAGGGGACTGTCAGTGGAAGAAAGTTGAGGATTGAGAGTTTGGGATCTTTTTTTAATGGGAGCTATTATAGTGTGATAGATGCTGATATGAGTGATGGTATAGAAAGGAGGAAATAGGTGATGCCTGAAAGGAGGAGTCTGGGGCAGTGAGGCTGAGCTGATTAAAGTAAATGGTATCTGTGTACAAAGGAGAAGGGCTGATTACAGTAGTAGCACAGACGTGTCAGCCATACCAGTAGAGGAAAAAGTATTTTGGCACATATACAGGGAAATGATTGGTTTTATATTCTCAGTGAGCTAGGAGGCAGGATCATGTGCTGAGCCTGAGGGATAGGGGTTATGTGGGTTTGAGGAGAAAAGATCTGCCCTTACTTGTGGGGGCCATACTGCATGATCCCCAGTGTATGTGTGAAAGCACAGACAGTGATGAATCCTATATGCTCTATTTTTTAATACACATATGAGAATATACCTATAATGATATTTAGGCTATAAGATCTGGTCAGGAGATTAGAGAGCTGGTGTGTGTGTGTCAGCCAGCATCAAAAGCCCAGCTGGACCCCCTCCTCATAAGTGTACAGCAAGGTTAGTAGAGTTAATACTTGTTTTTTGTTCCTTTAGCCTGAGTCACCTATGCAGATTAGGTAGCGCTTCATCTAGAACTGAGGTTTGCCTGGTGATAACAGAAGAGGAGGCAACATAATGAGTTTATATATTCAAAAGAGGAGGATTTTAATGGTGCATCCTGGACTCTAAGCTAAGTGAAACAGTAAAAGGTGGTGGTATTAATGGGTGGTAGAACTGGGGTTTAAAAGTGGCATAGTCTTTGAAGAGAGGAAGTTGAAAAGATGGGGGCCGCTAGAGAGTGAGATTACAGAATTTGAGACTCTAGAGACATCAGTTTATTGCTGTGAGTGTAGGAATTGTTATACCTGTCAGCTTAGACCATTCCTGCGAAGTACAACAGGAAACCTCAAAGAATAGCAAGCACAAGACACCATATCCCAACCCCCTGATTCCAGGGAGAGCAGTTACAGCTGCACATACTCCTCATTCTGGGGAACATGACCACATTCACATGTGTACTTCCAGTTCAGAGAAGTGTGACCATTCCTGCGAAGCCACAAGACAGCAACTCTCCCCTCCCTCTTTAAAGCCTTTATTCTCCCCTTGCTGAGTGCTGACACTCTTTTAGGACTCTGTCCACTTACACCTGAGTAAAATAAACAGCAAAGCCTGCCCAGGTAGATTGCACTCTGCCTACAGAACAGAGCAACCCTCCTGGAGGACCTTCAAGCCCTATCCCTAGTCCTTTTCCTGATGAGACCACACCTGAGACCTTGGCCCCTCAGGCCACACCCCAAGCAGTCCCCACTGGCCACTTCAGATCTGGTAAAGTTCCCTGTCTCATCTGCTGAGACACAAAGGCTTGGTCTGCTTTCTGTGTTCCTTAAATCTGGCACCAGCTGTGGACATTCTCTGGGAAACCAGTCTTTCTTTGGTGTCTAACCAACCATGATGACTGGCTTGGACCACCCCCCCCACCCACCTTGCATTACAGGCCCTGAGTTCCAGCTGGAGAGATCCTCAGTGGACCTCTGCTGCTGTTCTTATTACCTTTCTCTCTGCTGTCCATGAGAAATTTCTCTTCCTCCATTCCCTACCCCCTGTCTCCTAAAAAACCCTAAAGCCCCTCTATTTCTCCCCTCATCTGAAGCCTAAGTGCCTGATATTTTATTTTTTGCAGTACCACAGGGTCACAATAAAAGCTTTCAAATGGCTCTCAATGGCTATAAAATGGCACCTTTGGTTTTTCTGTCTTTTAGGACTTACATAAGGGAAATGATCTTAGGCACCCTTTGTCCAGGTGTTCTCACTCTGTAACCTTCCAACCCTCTGTTCCTCCTGTGACTCCTCTGAAATCCTTCACCTTTTCCTCCCATCTGTACCTTCATCTGTCCCTTTTCTTGTTGAGTCCTCCCTGACAATAGATCCTGTCTACCTCACTCTCCCCAGGCAGCCCAATATTCTTCCCAACCCATGTCCTTCATAGTCCCCATTGGAAGTCAGACTGATCAGCACCAGCAGCCACTTCTGGGTCACAACCCCATGGGCCCTTGGCTGGCTCTTTCCCAGACCCTCTTGGTTTGGCCACTGAAGATGGAAGTGAAGCTGCCCAAAGGCCTCAGGGGACTCCCTGGCCCAACAGATGCTGAACTTCAGGTAACTCTTACTGTAGAATGTAAAGTCTATCTCCTTTCCAACGGATACAGAGCCACCCATTCACCTCAGCTTTCTTTCAAGGATCAACCAATCTTTACAGCCCCAACTACTGTTATGAGTATCCACGGCAAAATCTCCAGAGCCTTAAAACCCCCTCTAATCTGATGCCAATTGGTCCTGTGTCCTTTCTCCCTTTCCTTCCTGGTCATTCTCACTTGTGCCATTCCACTTTTTTTTTTTTTTTTTTAATGTATTTAGTACAGGGTCTACAATGGTGTCAATACACAGATCAGACTCTTAGTGATCCTTCTGTTTTCAGCCTCCCAAGTGCTGGGATTACAGGTGTGCACCACCACACCCAGTCTCATTCCACTCTTTATAAGGCATTCTGATCAAACTGTCTGCCACCTCTTTATTACCATATATTATACAGCCATGCTACTATCTAGGTAGAGAGAGGTCTCTTCACCTTCTGAGGGTCCTCAGTGATTGACACCCCTCTCATTAGAGCCTGCTTCCAGGTCACCCTCTTGCGGGCCTGGGTGGTTATATTTTGCTGCAGGAAACAAAAGGTCTTTTAACTTCATAGCTACCAGAAATACCTTTGTAGACAAAAAGCTAAAGAGGCAACTGGAATCCCCCTTTCCACTCCTGAGGGTCAATAGTTCACTTTTTCTAACATTACCCCAACCTATAACCTGCCAAATGACAACAGTACTATGCCCTTCCTACCAAGAGTAGTTGGTTTCTAAATGAAGGAAAACTCCTTCGTGCTTCCCAGGCATACACTATCCTTTCCTCCTTTCATGATAATTTTCACTCAGGCTATAGATCTGTAGCTTGATTGCTTGAGCCTCTTTCTTCTCTCTTAGAAAAACTTTTCAAACTATCACCTCCCAGCGCCCTATCTGCCATGTATCCATCTTTCAGGGTTTCCTGAGACTCCCTCCTTTCCCTACATACAAGGTACAAGGCTTTGCTCTTAATTTAGGACTGGCAAATTGAATTCATCTACATACTGTGGGTGTAAAAGATTACCTCCTGGTGTGGGTTGATACTGTTACTGAGTGGGTTGAAGCTTTTCCTCCAACTCAGAAAAAGCCATAGCAGTAGTAAATTAATTTCCTTTTAGCTTGTATTATCCCTTGATATGGCCTTTCTACATCCATCCAATAAGGCAGTGGTTCAGGCTTCATCAGCCAAATTACCCAGGAGGTAGTGAAGTCTCTCATTCAATGGAATCCCCACACCGTGTACCAACCTCGGTCATCTGGAGAGATAGAGCCGGTGGCCTCTTCAAGTAACACCTTACTAAGCTTATACCTCCATTCCATGAAGATTGGGTCTCCCTGCTCCCAAGCATTGTCCTCCACATCTGAGCCACCCACCTGGGAACCCATGGAATGCAGCCCCTTTGAGCTTTTTAAGGCTTCATCCTCTTTCTTGGACCTAACCTCAGCCCAGAGGCCAGGTCTAGTGGAGATTTGTCTCCCAGTCCTTCAAGCCCAAACAGAAATGACATGCCACTAACCTACTCTTTTTCTTCCCAGACACCTAGCCTTTTGAAGACAAACTCATAGGCAAATAGGTTGTAATTAAAGATTTAAACACCTAGTCCTTAGAGCCCAAGAACAGAACCCTGTTTCATCATCTGCAGCACCCTCGTGGCTGTCCATCTGTGAGATTGCCTCTCTTCAATGGCTGCAGCACCCCTGGGGAAGGTATATCACTCAGGCAAAATTGTATCCTGCTGACCCCTGACTTGACTCCTCCTCACGGAAAGTGCAAGTAATCTATCCTGCATCCCCTAGACTATCCCAAATTCCAGAAGGAATGCCCTGCCCTTGCCTCTCCTGCCACTTCACCCACTTCCTTCATGTGGTCTGCCTTGATTTTTTTTGTTTTTGTTTTTGTTTCAGGTCTCTATATAGGAAAACATAATAGAAATATGAATGAGAAGACCCTAACCACCATGTTTCTACTATGCATGTTCCTGTGGATTTTACTTATAATCCCGTTATGGCTTAAGATCAATACCTTTTGCCTCAGGGATGGAATCATTTCTCATGCTCACATTCACCCTTGGTCTGACTAGTTTCCTTTTTCCTCTGTCTCCCTGCGTTCTTTTATCCACCTGGCCCTCCAGTTCCTTTTGCCATGCCCCACATTCACTCTTGCCACTTATCCCAATGGTCCCTAACTATTTCTGCAAGACCTATAGTTAACTCATTCCTTGTGTAAAGCCAGTCCAGTCCTTCTCTAGCCAGACTGCTGGCTGGGAGATGCATTTGACTGGGGACCTAAGAGAGCATGTCTTTGCTGCTGTGCCTACGTCAGCTTTACCCCTGCAGGACAGAAGATGAGCTGTTGGCAAGTGGGTATTTGCTGTAGGTGACAGGGCCACAGCCAGTTGGCTACAGATAGTTAGGCCCACCTCCTACTTGATGACGGGAATATAGCCATGCAACATCTGCTTTTTGATATTGTTAACTGTGGACTTTGGGCGATAATGTTGTGTCAGTGTTGGTTTATCAGCTGTAACAAATGTTCCAGTCTGCTGTGGCCATTGATTGTGGGGGAGCCAGAATTATAGGGTAAGAGGTATATGGGGATTTTGTATTTTATGCTTACTTTTACTCTGAGCCTAAAACTTCCAAAAAATAATATATTTAAAAAAAAATTTGTAGGCTTTCTCAGTCGCATGTTTCAATAAATAAGAGTATTTTTTAAAATAAAATTACTCTCTTTTTGTCTTTCCTTTAGGCAGTAATCCTTGTTTGCTATTGGTGAAAAATATGAA